TTGGGAGAGGGGGGAGAAACATAATGATACTTCTAAGTTCGCACAACGCTTCCACGAAGCGATGGGCAACCCTGCACAACCTCCTCTGTATTGACCAGCGTGGGCAAGATGGACATGCCCGCAACGAGACGAATCTTGGGGCCGCGAATCTGGAGACGGCATGGAAGGACGAGAGAGCGAATGATGGGGCAAGAAGAGCTGGATGCAATGCTATAAACAAACCTGTCCGGAGCACGGCAAACGGATACGATAAAGGCCGACTGCGGAAAACATGGAGATAGGCCATTGATGACCTCTTGTGGGGATGAACGTTTACCTTCGCCTGCTTCGGATGGCGGAGCCGCCCTCGTCCTACTTCCGCCGCCTTTCGTGTGCCTTCCGCTGGCATGCGCCTGGGGCGATAGGTCGACCCTGCCGCGAGAGAACTCGGTCGTGAGGGACACGACTCCTGGATCTGGGGGCTTCCCCTAAGAAGACATCTTCGCACCGCATTGTCTTGCAGCACGGCCCGAATGCCCGGGAAATCGTCCGGGGAGGAGGAGGAGGAGGAGGAGGAGGAGGAGGAGGAGGAGGAGGAGGAGGAGGAGGAGGAGGAGGAGGAGGAGGAGCAGGAGGAGGGAGGAGGAGGAGGAGGAGGGAGGAGGAGGAGGAGGAGGAGGAGGAGGAGGAGGAGGAGGAGGAGGAGGAGGAGGAGGAGGAGGAGGAGTCTTGCCTTGCAGCCGTCCCCGCCCCTTCGGCCCAGCCTTGGCCGCTCGATCGCTGGCCGCGCCCCGCTCGCAGCGTGTTTCGGCACGACCTCCGGAGGCGCGGTGCCTCCGCCGCGTGCGCCCTTCTCCGGCGGGTCGGCCGTGCCCGCCGCGCGGGGACGGCCCCGCCCCCTTCGTGACTCTCTTCTTTCCCGGACCCCAGACGTCAGGAATTCTTCACAACGCGGACCCCATTCAAGGGGCCCCAGGACACACAAATAAATGCACACAGATTAAACGATTCCCCATGTTTTCCCATATTTTCCGGGTTTTTGTCTTCCCCCCCCACTTCCCATATTGTCGTATATTTGCTGGGAATCGCCGATCCATTGTGTCTGTGCGTTTTTTCCCCTCCTGACCTATGCCCGTCCGGACCCGTCCCCCGAGACCGGAGCTCCCTCCCGAGCCGTTCTTCGACGGCCCCCCTCCGCGGGCCGGCGAGGGCCTCCCGCGGGCCGAAGACGACGAGAGAGCCCCCGCGCCGTGGTCTTCTCGTGGCCCGAGGGGGCGAGAAGGGTGGGGCCGCGGGGGGGGGGCGGAGGGCAGCTGCCCGCTCTCACGGCGAACGCGAGAGTGCCTCGACGGGCGGCAGGGCTTCGGAGCGGCGGGGCGCCCCCGGAGGCCGCGGCTCTCGCCCCGCCGCGGCGGAGGGACGGCAGCGCTCGGGAAGGCAACGCCGAGCGCCGCCGAGGCCGACGGCCGGAGGCACGGCGCGCGGCAGGCCACCGGGGCGCGACCTCGGGCCACGAGAAGACCCCGCGCCGTGGTCTTCTCGTTGGGGCGAGAAGGATGTCGTGGTGGTGGTGATCGACCCCCTTCCCATCCCTCGAGGGGCGAGGGCGCCGCGTCTCGAGGGTGTGACAGGGCCACGGGCCCGAGCGCCGGCAGGGCCACGGGTCTGACTGCGGGCCGGGCCCGCCGCCGCGGCGCCGCGTCTTTTGGTCGGTGGGCTCGCGGCGTCGCGGGGAGCGCGAGCGTTGCGGCCTCGCGAGAGCTCCGAGGCGCATCCGTCGCCCGCCCCCCCCCGTTCTCGCTGGCGGAATTCCCTGCCATCGGTATGACGAGAGTGATGCCATGATAGGCTTGGCGCGGGGTGTCTCGCGGCCCTCGCCTCTGCAGCCCCTGCGGGACATCAGTGATTCTAGGGCGTCCTGGAAATTCTGGAGCGCATCATTCTCATGACCTCTTGCTTTAGGTCGGGCATGTTCTCCTACAGGCGGATGTTGGACGGATAATTGATATCAACAAATCATCAGATATAGTCAGACGTAGTCGAACAATCGTCCCCAGCTTTGACAAATATTCATTTTTCCTCTGTATGAGGACATGCCCAACTTAACTCTTGCTCCTCCGATCCTGCAATCGCTGAACACTATACGTGTGCAGGGTGAGTGGAGCTGGACCCTTTGGCTGCCGGGCTGCGGCCCGCCGCTCAAAGGGGTACCGTACCCTATAAGGGGTTGGCCGCAAGTGCTGGGCGTAGAGGACGGGGCGGATCGGCAAGGCTGCCAGGGGCATCCTTGGAAAGCGACCCCATCCCTGGCACAAGCGAAGGCTGCACAATCAACTCTCGTAATCAGGATGCGAGGCAAGGATGCAAAGGGCCTTGGGGCCACGTTGGCGTTTTCGAGCGGGGCTGGCCCGCGAAAGTCGCCAAGGATGGGCCGAAGGGGCAATAATGCAAGGGTGACCCTGTAACGTCACTCATCCTGCCTATGCGACTTGACTGTAGGTCGCTCCACTTCGCGCATCGCGCTGTGCGAAACGGGTCATTCATCGCATCTCGCGCCGCCCTGTGGAGAAAAGGGCAACGCTGTGGCCATGGCCAAGGACCCTGGAGCGTGGCTATCTTCGCGTCCCTGTGGGTGATCCAGGTCATCATTACCTTCTGCTGGGGGTGCAACACGACGAGCCTGGCAGCCTGACGACAGCGCAGTACTGGGAGCGACGCAACGCGCAATCTCAGCTACACATGAAACTTTGCTGCTGGCATCGCCAATTACCCAGACGGCGTGCAACGTGTAGACTTAATGTTGTGCTCAGCCCTCCTGTCTGTTGGCACCTCCACTCACTCGCCATCAAGTCAGAACAGTGAGTTGATTCCATGGGGTGATACCGACCTTCGCAATTTCGCACTGGTGTGAGCCGACATGGCGACCATACTCACATCGGCCACTGGGCAAACTGCCAATGCGATGGCAGTGGTGAGCGCTCGTGGGGCTCAGGAGCTTGAATGGAAGTGTATCCGCCAAACGCCCCTTTGAGGAACGTGCGTGCTGAGGACTCACGTGCGAGCCAGGATGCACGCCGTTCGGCAAAAAGCTGGGACAAGCATGAAGTAGGAAGGCGCTTGCTATATCGTTGGCTTCGGCCCGCCCCAATGATGGGCAATGAGGAGGGCACCTGGTCTTGATGGAGGAAAACGGTTTACGTAACTTGGGATAGGGAGAGAAGGCCCAAGAGTGCGTGCTTTCAGCGTGCGGCCTGCACGCCTCGACAAATGTATTATGGTGGCGCGAATGCTTCCGTCACAAACGAGGAGTACAAGCCAGATGTGAATGCCTGGCCATGGGTCAGGGATGACCCATTCCCGAAGCAGGCTCCGCCCGACAAGGCCCTGGCGCAGGATCGGCGACTGTGGCCCCGAGGCCTTGTTCCGTAGGAACGTCCTCCCTTCTGCTGGGGATGTACCCTCCACTTTTTGAGGAACTCCCGAACTGAGAATCATATGAATGCAGTGTGCATGCGCTGCAATATAGAGCAACGCATTGACGTGGATCTCTGCGCGATTCAGTGCAGCACGACAGCATGTCAACACACCGCTAATCAATTCAGTGCGATGTAGAGCAGAGGAATGCGATGCAAACCAACGAACCAACGCAGCACCAAGCAACTCACGGAACACAGCAATGCACTACATCACGCATCACTGCAGCGTAATACCACGCTGATCACAGCAAGCCGCAACACATTAACCAAATCAAGCGACGCAGTGTAACGTACGGCAACACAAACAAAACAATGTGCAGAACATAACGAAGCGTCGCTATGGCACGCGTAAGTCTGGCTCCCTTTCACTGGTTCAAAGCTTCACCTGGTCAGTAAAAGCATGTGCCACTTTTCTTCAGCTTGTCTTCTGCCCATCTCAGAGCTGGGGTTGCGCTGGGTTCATTTCCAGTGCGTTCGGTTCGGTCCTTCTTTGTCTGAAGGCCCAGGCTAGGCTGGCCCGTGCATCTCACGTCCGCCTGCTGATCATAGGGGACCCCGACCAGTGGGCTCTTGCGCTCTCGACGTGCACTCCTTGTGGTGCGGCGCAGTCTCAAGATGGTGCGCTCAGATGGGTGTGGTGCTATCCATGCGGCGCGGTGCAATCTGAAGGGGCCCTGGGACACACAAACAAATATACACAAATAGAAATATTCTCCATATGTTCCTATATTTTCTGAGTTTTTGTCTTCTCGCCCACTTCCCATATTTTCGCATATATTCTGGGGAATCGAGGATTAATTGTGTCTGTGTGTTTCTTATCTTCCTGACAATCTCTGTGGCGCAAGCTGGTGGTGCCCTCCGTGCCGCCATATGCCGTGCAGGCTGTGCGGCACGACCTCTGTGGGGCAGTCCATCGGGCGCAGTCTGAGGTGCCGTACAGCTGGGGCGTTGACCTAAGGAGCCCTAAATAAGGAACGAGGCCCCTTCTTTCCACAAGTTAAACTTCGATCTTCCATCGAAGACATAAGGAAAACCTGAGGCAAGCTGTGAAGCAATCAAGGATCACCGAGCCCCTCCCCAACGAGAAGGGCTCCTTCTTGAGCGCCTCGACTGCAGTCGAAGCGCCAGCCAGCGCACGAAGCGGCAGTGGGAGGGCCCCCGGGCGCAACTCTGGCGGCGCCCGTCGGCCCTCGAGGCGGCGGCCACGGGCGGGGCGGGCACGGGGCGAACGTCTGGAAGCGCCGGCCAGCACGCGAGGCGGCAGTAGCGGGCCGAGGCAGCGAACGGGGGCGGCCACGAGGCCGGCGCTGGGCGAGGACCCGGCAGCGCCAGCCAGCTGCTTGGTGCAGCAGCAGGAACCCCCCGGCGCGAGCACTGGGAGCGGTCCCCAGACCTCTCCCGGACACCATCTGGACCAGCTTTTTTCAAGTTGCCTCCTGCCGTGGCCGCGAGGACACGCAGGAGGCCCCAAACGTGCTACGCACGACAAACATCTGGACGAGAACCTCCTCCTCGCTCCCTCCTTCCCTCTCCTCCTCCGTCATCCGTGCGACTCCTCGCCCCCCCCTCTTCGCGGGCGCAGGCCGATGCCGCTTGGGGGTCCTGGGCGCGGGCGCGCAAGCAGGCGCGGCACGCCAGAGCAGACAAACGCAGCACGCCCGGCGACTCTCTGAAGGCCGCCCACGTGGGGCTGTAGCAAAAGGGCTCGGAGGACAGCACCGCGCAGCCGATGCCCTGGACGTCACGATGGAGAACATCTGGCCATCGCTCGGACGTCCATTTCCTGTGTTTTTTTTCGGTTTCGTGCGTGGTTTTTTCGCCAAATGATCAAGGATGCTCCTCGATGGTCCTCGCCGAAAGAAAAACGCACACATCCGAGCGATGCCAAGGACCACTGGGCAGGATCGAGCCGCATCGCCGCTGCATTTGCGATGCAGGTGAGCGTTCTCTTTTTTTCGGCGTTTCGACATTGGGCGCGGAAAGGGGAGGGAGGGGGGATCTGGCTCCAGGCCTCTGCTCAATGCGACTGTTTACGACAGTGCGTCTTCTGGCGGGGGACCCCATCGGCTTGAAGCAGGCGCCAGAAGCAACCAAGAGCTTCTCCGTTGGGGGTGGGGAGGAGGGGAGGGGGGCGAGAGCCCGCGCCGATCGGCAAAACGATGAAAAAGAAAACGAAGCGCGATCCCCCGACCCACTCTGTTCCGACCCATGCCAACCCTTGGGCGTGGGCTGTGGGCTTCCAGCTTCGACTTCAGCTTGCGCGTCCACGTGCCATGCATCCCTTGATTCGCGTCGCGATGACATCGGCGTTGGTCTCTGACACCCCGTGGATCGTTCAACCTTGAATGATTACGGCTTCTCGATAGGGTTAGGTCGGGCGTGTCCCCCTGCAGGAGGATTTTGGGCGAAAAATTAAAAACCTAAAAAAAACGGAAAATAGTAAAACAAATAATAGGAAAATCGTCCGCATACTACTCTTTGACTATTTTAGATTACTCCTCCTGTAGAGGGACAGGCCCGACTTAACGATAGGGCAGATCGTTCGCTGTCCGCCGACTCTGGACCCCTGGCGGCGTTCCAACGTGAACGCCCGCACCTGGGGGCACCGCTGCGGCAACGCGGCGCGAACCTGCCGTACCGTGCACTTTCATGGCCCGGTCGCACTGTCGTGTCTCCGCGTGTGGGAAGCGGGCCTCGAGGGAGGGAAACGGGTCCTGGACCCCGGGGCCTTCCCCCAGGACGAATTCTTCATCCCGAGTCGTTCTCTCGCAGTCCAGGGGCCCGTGGAGGGCCCCGAGACCCCGAACACGGCGGAAGATCTCACAACCCGCTTCCCTCAGGTCCCGCTTCCCCAATGGGCGGGTGTCGCACTCTGCATCTCAGGACAGCTGCGGCGCGATGCCGTGTGCCAAAGCGTGACGGCTTGGAGGCACGCCCAGCCGCTCGCCGGTGGCCGGGGCCACAGCGACCTCCCAGATGGGGTCCGAGCGGGGTCGGCAGGTTGCCCTGGAACGGCGACGCATCGGCGATGCATCGGCGATGCGTCGGCGATGCACCGGCGATGCATCGGCGATGCATCAGCGACGTCGGCGACGCATCCGCGACGTCGGCGTGGGGAGCATCGGGCTCCACGTCGAGCCGCATCGTCGATGCGGCGCGATCCTCCGACCCCACCTGCTCGGACCCTGTGTCTGGGAGGCCCAGACACCACCACCACTTCGGGCAGCCCCGCGCCGCCGCGCCGAGGCCGGCGAGAAGCGGCGGCTGCCTGCGGGCGGTGTGGCCGCCTGGGCCTGCTCGGCACCGCCACGGGCAGCCTGGTCTGCCGCGCCCGTGGTGCGTGCTCCGACAGCCGGCTGTCGGCTCTGCGACACGGTCAACCCGTAGAACAAAGACGCACGATCTTTCAGCTGGGACCGACCGTCCCGGCATTCCTATAGGCCTAACACGAAACTTTCTTAGAATACAACAAGAAGCTCGATGTGCTAGAACAAAACAGTCTCGACCAACATTGTTCTAAGCATATTTCGTGCAAACCACAAAAGGTCGTATAGGCAAAACAGGACGCTTCGCCGCTGCTTGAGAAATGGATGCCAGGGCCTCGGAAGGCCATGCCGACCCCTGTCGAGCGGGCCTGGCCAGCGAAAAAGGCCCAGGACGAGCCGGAGGGGAAGGATGCAAGGGCAACCTTGGAAAATCGTTCCTCCTTACTATGCGAAGTCTTGCCACGACAACTCTCGGGGCAAACTCGCTGTCCAACGCCCCATAACCTCTTGGGCCCCCAGGGCATGCAGGGGGTACGTAGGTTCCGTGGGATACCTGTCGGAAGGCCAGTCTCTTGTTTGACGTGCCTCCTGGATCCGCCACCGTGCCTCTGGGCACGGAGTGGGCGCGCCCCCACCCCTTGTCCGATCCCTTTAAGCCTCAATCCTCAATCCTGAAGAGGTCTTCACGGGGGCTGGACCCCAACTTGCCCAATCTCTCGGGGCTCGGTCGGCGCGTGCCTCCTGGGCTCCCGCGCGCCTCCCCGTGTGACCCTTTTTTGCGGCCCAAAGAGGATCCCCCAAGACGGGCCGCGAGGGCCCCAAAAGAGACCCACGAGAGGGTCCAAGAGAGGGACACGGGGCGCCCACAGATCGCTCCAAGACGCCCGAGATGGCCAAGACGGCCCAAGAGGCCTCCAAGCGTCCTCCGCAGAATGTTCCCGAAGGCCAGAATCATTGATGTCCCTTTGGTTTTCGAAGGTTTCTCGTCTTCTCGCCTTTCGGCTTTCCGACGCGCCAAGACAACCAAAGAGGCCCCCAAGATCGCCCTACGACGGCTCCAAGACGGCCAAGAGGGCCCCAAGATGGCCCAAGACACGCCCAACACGGCCCAAGAGGGTCCCAATACCGACTCGAGAGGGGTCCGAGAGGGGGACCACGAACTGAGAATTCGAGCTCTGCGCCTTGAGAGGGCCCCAGGAGGCCCGGGTCCAAAAATGCAGCAAACCTGCCTCCAAGAGGCTCCAGAGACGCCTCCCGCGACGGGTCAGGGGGCGAACCGTCCCCTGCGATTCATGTATTGTTTGTCCTTATGGTGGCTCGCGCAGGAGAGTTGTTGATTGATGCGCGTGCTGCGTCCGACCAAACAAAATACCTGAACACCCGCGTCCTCCATGTCCTCGCATTGCGCCTTCCGCGACGATGCGATAACTTTTTCGTGGGGCGGACTGAGCCTCAGCCCCAGCCAGCCTAAGCCAGCCACGCCTGAGCCTTAGCCTAAGCCAGCTCCGCCTAAGCCTCAGCTTAACCTGAGCCTTGCCTAAGCCCAGCCTGAGCCCCAGCCCAAGCCGCAGCCTAGCCCACACCTCAGCCTAAGCATAGTCTGAACCTCGCCCGAACCTCGGCCTAATTCTTGGCGTAAGCCTCAGCCTAAGCCTAGCCGAAGACCAGCCTAAGCCTCAGTCTAAGCTTCAGCCTCAACCTAACATGAACCCCAGCCGAAGCCGAAGCCGAACCCTCAACCAAAGCCTAGCCTGAGCCTCAGCCCTGCCATTGCTGTGCTAGGGTATTACTATTATCACAGTACTATAACAGAACGACTACTACTACTACTACTACTGCTGCTGCTACTACTACTACTACTACTACTTCTACTACTACTACCACTACCACTACCACTGCCACTACCAGTACTACTACTACTACTACTACTACTCATACTACTCATACTACTACTACTACTACTACTACTACTACTACTACTACTACTACTACTACTACTACTACTACTACAGCTACTACTACTACTACTGCTGCTACTACTACTACTACTACTACAGTATTGGAGTACGACTGCACCTACGACACTATCAGTAGTACTACGACTACTACTATTATTACTGCTGCTACTACTACTACTACTACTACTTCTGCTACTACTACTACTACTACTACTCCTACTACTACTACTCCTACTACTCCTACTACTCCTACTACTACTACTACTACTACTACTACTACTACTACTACTGCTAGCACTACTACTACTACTACTACTACTACTACTACTACTACTACTACTACTACGGCTACTAGTCCTACCACAATGCGACCGTACTCGAGTGCTGCCGCAATAGAATATGGTATTCGCCGTACAGCCGCCACTACAGTGTTACCACTGCTACTGTGCCAGCGCACTACTACGAGTGCAATAAAATCCACTGAATACTCCAATGGTCGAGTTCCACTATTACTACTGCCACCATGGGATTGCTATACACTACTAGAATGCCACGAATGCAGTACTCCTGCTAGAGTACTATACTACGACATTTGCAACACCACCACTGTGGCATTTCAGGACTAGAGCACTACAACCGTGCCGCGATACTACGGCAATACCAACACCACCCCAGTACTGGAGCACTACGACAGTGCTAGAGTATTCCTACTACAATATTGCAGCACACGCGCTGCAAGCAGTCGTAGACTAGTACTCGTACGAATACTGTACAAGAGCACTGCACCTACAACGCCACTACTGCAATAGTGCAGCACGGCCCCAGTAGTACAACACTCTTCCTGCAACACCACCGCTAAATCATTACAGTTGAAGGGTACTAGTACTGTGCTGGAGTACGACCGTAGTAAATTACTATTGCATTACAACAGTGCAAGTACTAAAGCGAATACAAGAGTGATGGCCTTTACTGCGAGACCTGACTACTACCATTACAGCTGCAGGGCTACTGCAACGCTGCCACTTCGTTCATGCAATTCTACTACTGGCTTAGCACGGTGTCAGAGTACCACTGGTCCAGCACTAGAGTACCACTACTGCAGTACTACTGCGGGAGTATTATACTAGGGCTAGTTCGGTGTCACCACTGCAGCACTACAGTATTAAAGTGCTGCAGCAGTGCTGATATACTACGGCATTCGAATATTCCTACGACAGTACAGCAGCACACTCCCTGCAGGGAGTAGTAGAGTGCTGCTCTACGAAGGCACTACGAGAGCACGGCATCTACAGTGCCAGCACTACAATGGTACAGCACGGTTCCACAATAGTGCAGCATTCTCCCTACATCACTACCGCTGAAGCCCTACAGTTCGAGGAGACTGCAGTAGGGGACTACTTCTACGACAATACTACAGTGGACTATTACAGCAAGTACTAGAATATAATCTTTACTGCGAGACCTGGGTACTACTACTCCGATTACAACTACAGGGCCATTGCAGTGCTGTCACTTCGTTCATGCAATAATGCTACTGGCTTAGCGCGGTATCAGAGTACCACTGGTTCAGTCCTAGAGTACCACTACGGCAGTACTACTGCTTGGGTACTGTACTACGACAGTTTCAATGCCACCACTGCATCACGTCAGCATTCGAGTATTACAACAGCGCTGATCGACTACGGCATTTGAGTAGTCCTACTACAATAGTATAACCACTGCAGATACTACTCGTAAGGATCATGTATTAGAGTGCTGCTTCTAGAGTACCACTGCTGCCGTAGTACGGCACAAACCCACAATACTGCACCACTCCTCTACCACTCAAGCACTACAGTTCGAGGATGCTACTACTCTGCTCGAGTACTACAGTCGTGGACTACTTCTACAACACTTCTACAGTGCGACTACTAGAGCAAACGCTCGCGTATGGCCTCTACTGCAAGGCCGGAGTGGTGCTGCTGCTGCTACTACTACTTCTACTACTTCTACTTCTATTACTACTACTACTACTACTACTACTACTACTACTACTACTACTACTACTACTACTACTACTACTACTACTAAAGCTACAGGGTTAACACAGTGCTGCCGCACCATTAATGCAGTAGTACTACGGTGGTTCTAGAATGCTGCAGTAGTAGAGCACAACGAATATTACACTACTGCAGTACTACTACTGCGACAGTCAGTACTATAGCACTGTTGCTGCAGTACGGTTGCAACGCATTTCAATGCGATTGCAATGCACTGCGATTGCAATCCTTTGCTGCTGGCGCCTAGGAGGGGAGGGGAGTTTTTTTTTGTTTGTTGCCCCCCCCCCAGGCGCCAGCAGCAAGGGAGGGGCAGAAGTCCCACCACCGCCCCACGTGGTCACGTACCCGAGTCAGCGAGGTTCGCAGAACCGAGTCCCTCACCACGCGGCCATCCAGAGAGATTCGCACAGCGAGGTTCGCGAATGTTATAAAAATGAAGAGCATGAAGAACAAACGGGAAAAGGAAAAGGGGGTAAAGAAAAAACAACACACAACCACGCAAAGATGATTTGATTATTTTCGCAGGGGGGCGATTCGCCCCCGAACCCTCCCGCGACATCCCAAAGAACATCCAAGAGGCCTATGACCCACGAATCATCCTATCTGCTGGCCTTCGGTGGGATGCGCCGATGATTATGAGATAAGAAGAGCCGGCAGTAAGTACGCAAGCATCAGGCCCGCGTGACTTTCTTCCGTCGGCATTGGACCCCGCCCCAGCACCACTGGGCGGCAACTCGAGCCTCGCCTCCGGCGCGCTCTGCGAAGGGGTGTCGGGAGGGGTGTCCCGCGCGAAACCAAGAAATTCGCGCGAACTCGCGAGTGTGTATGTCCTTGCAGTCTCTTGGCATTCCCTGGGGGACCACCCTTCGGGTCATCAGGAGCAAAGGGGGATGGATGCAACTTTCGGCTTGCGATTGACGTCGGATCGGACTCGCGATCTACCAATACACGGGTCTTGATTCCCCATCCATCGGCCCACACTATCTAGGACTCGATGCCGCCGGCAAACCATTGATCGATCCCCAGATCTCTCGATCTCTCTGTCTATCGAACCCGCGACATCGGTCTCACTAAATATTTTTGGATAGACAAGATGCCATGGGCAAATCACGGCGACGCTGGACAACAAGGGGACAACGACGGGACAACCACAGGACAGACGAGGGAGAATCACATTTGATCAGCGGGACAAGGAAGGGGCAACCAGAAAACAGCCGCGGGACAACCACAACACAACCAAGGAACAACGACGGGACAACCACAACATTCCCGCGGAATAACCGCAAAACAACCACGGAACAACGACGGGGCGATCACGGAACCACCACGGCACAACCCCAATGCAACCACGGGACGACCACGGGACAACCGAGGGACAACCGAGGGAGAACTACGGGACAACGCCGGGACAACCACGAGACAAGCGCTGGACAGCCACACAACAAACACACCGACCAACCACGGGACAACCGCGGGACGACCGCGGGCACAGCCTGGGCACGCCCTGGCGGGTGGGACCGTGGCTCGTTCTGGCGTGAGCTGGGCCTGGCTGAAGCGGGAAGCCGCGCAGACTCGCCTCGCCAGCTCGCACAACTCGGGCGGCACGAGGCGACATCGAAACAGACTTTCCCAGCCGGGGGACTCCGCTTCACTTCGATCTCACCCCTCCAACCTCCAATAGATATGCCTGACGGGTAGCCGCCTAGACCACGACGGCGACGTCTTCGCTCGCCTCCACCTCGTCCAGGGTGTCCGCTGGGCCTGAGCGGAAGGGTGCCCACGTCCAGGAGTGGAACATTGGGTTCGCGCGCTGCCACGGCACGTTCGATTGGGGCTGGACCCAACCATTGTCCTTCGACGCGTACCATTCGACCCTGGATACGAGCTTCTTCAAGACCACCTGATACTCAGAGCTATTGGCCAAATTGTGGTGCTCGGCCTCGTCCTGCTCCAAGTTGTAGAGCCTGACCGGCAGATCCAAGTCCTCGTCCGGAGCCGTGTAATTGTAGGGCTCAACGCCCCAGTACCCGTCCCGGCGAGACTCTTTCGCCCTGGTGGGGAGGAGGGTACCGAACTCGATGTAGGGGGCACCCACGAGGACCTTCCAGGGCCACGAGATCAGTGCCGAGTAGTTCGTGGCGCCGTCGTGGGCCAGGCGGGTGACGAGCCAGGGCAGGCCCCCGAGTGGATTCCTGCCGATGTTCAGGGGGATCTCCGTCCGGCACGGCGTGCCGCCGTGGACGACGGCGGACCATGCGTCGACGCCGTCGTGCCGCGAAGGGACAGGGATGCCGGCGAAGCCGGCCAGGGTCGGCAGGATGTCGGTCGCGTGCAGCAGCTGCTCGCTCGTCCGGCCGCGGGCGGCCGTGGGCAGGGCACCCCCGCTCAGGAACGCGGGGACGCGGACCCCCCCCTCGAAGAGCGTCGTCTTGCCCCCCCGCAGCGGCCAGTTGCTGCTCGCCGAGGCAGGCCAGTCGGGGCTCCACTGCGTCATGCCTCCGTTGTCGGCGACGGCAAAGATCAGCGTCTCGTTCCACACGCCGTTCTTCTTTAGGAGTGCCTCAAGGCGGCCGACGGACTCGTCCAAGCGACTGGCCATGGAGCAGAGCACCGTGCGATTCACGCTGCGTGTGCCACCGACCACGCCGCTGCATGCCTCCATGTGCCTAGCGTCTGGTGGGGCCTGCAGGGGAATGTGCACCTGCTGCTCAGCGAAATACAAGAAGAAAGGCTTCGACGGAGGGCTGGTGCCGCCGTACGGACAAAGCACCTCGTCGAGGCGGGCCTCGTACTTGTCAACGGTGTACTTCCCGAAATCCTCGGTCACGGGCGTCCTGCCGTCCCAGAAGTCGTACCCGTCCGCAGCTGGCCCGAACTTCGAGGAGAAAGGCCGATTCAGTGGGTATACGCAGAGGTTTGGGCCGCAAGTGGGGATTGTGCGATTGTAGTAGTCGACCTGACCCTGCATGTAGCCGTAGAAAGTATCGAAGCCTTTGCCGAGCGGGCTTTGACTCCACATCGAGTACCCCAAATGCCACTTTCCGATCATGTGAGTAGCGTAGCCAGCGTCCTGGAAGACCTGTGCCAGTGTTTTGGAGTCGTCAGGCAAACCAGGCGATGACCCAGGCATGATGGTTTCGAAATGCTGCAAGCCCGTCCGGAAACTGTATCGCCCGGTCATGATGGCCGCACGGGTCGGCGAACATTGCGGCATCACATACATCCGTTCCAACTTAACCCCATCCGATGCGAGCCGGTCGATGTTTGGCGTTGGGAAATTACCCCCATGGTAACCAACGTCGGCCCAACCGAGGTCGTCGAAAACGAGTAGCACGACATTCGGTCTCGCAGCACCAGCGCATCTCAGCACGACGGCCACAAAGGCCAGAATAAGAGCAGCCATCGGTCACTGCACAAAGGTGATGGGCCTGCCAGAGATGCCCAGGACTCGCGTCCGCTCTGCCAGCTTGAGCCAGAGTGTGCGCACTCCATGCTCCAGATGGGCACCCCTCGAAAGAACATCGTGGAAAACGCTGCTGGTCCAGCCATCAGGCGTCGTGATGTTATCACGACGCGAGCGAAGAACAAAAACAACGGGTCTTACACACGAGGTCACACAGCGATGGCCTACTCAGGCCGTCAGCGCGGCACACCGCGTGGAACATAGAAAAGCTTACTCGCGACCTTGCGCGGCAAACTTGCGCATGAATGCCCGCGCCACCGACTTTGTGTTATGTCGCTCATGCGATGGGGCAATGGTAGGGAAGACTGGCGTAAGTGGGGAAACATCGACCTGGAATCGTCGATACATCGCATATAGATCGGCAAGAGGCCCCCGATTGCTGGTCCGCACGCTCCTGGGCAGGCTGGGGCTATCGAGCCCCCATCAGCGATCCATGGGCGATGAGTGATCGATGCACCTCCACCCTATGCCCATCCCCTTTCTCATTGCCCCCTTACCATGTGGCCGACTCCAGAAACCCAGAAACCAAAAATTGGGCGCCCGAGTTATCCGGGATAACTCGGGTCCTGGGTAACTCGGGTTTGGATTCCCGAGAAAGGAACCCGAGTTAGCCCTGACCCGAGTTACCCCTGATGATTCGGGGCTCTGGACGCCCGAACTGTCCGGGGCAAGTCGGGTCCGGGGTAACTCGGGTTCGGACTCCCGAAAAACGAACCCGAGTTAGCCCTGACCCGAGTTACCCCTGATGATTCGGGGCTCTGAAAAAATGTTCTCATTTCTTGGGGACGCATCTTTTGCTTCCGCCGCCCTTCCGCCGCCCTTCTGCCGGCGGAGGCGGCCTCGCTTCACTCCCGCCGACGTTCCGCCGCGGAAGCGGCGACGACTCCCTCGATTCTCGAGGGCAGGGAGAAGGAGGAGGAGGAAAAGGAAAGAAGGAGGAGGAGGAGGAGGAGGAGGAGGAGGAGGAGGAAAAGGAAAGAAGGAGGAGGAGGAGGGAGGAGGAGGAGGAGGAGGGAGGAGGAGGAGAGGAGGAGGAGGAGCAGGAGGAAGGAAGGAAGGAGGAGGGAGGAGGAGGAGGAGGAGGAGGAGGAGGAGGAGGAGAAGGAGGAGGCAGGGCCCTCTTGTGGAGCGCCCCGTGCCGATCGCAGGACGATCCGCCTGTCGACGGGGGCATCGTCCTCGACGCGCTCGGGGCGGTGCCGGGGGCTCCGAGCGGGCCTCCCCCGGGGGCCGCATGGGGACGAGACGGGCCTCGGCCGCGCTCCTACAGACCTCCTAGGTGGGGTCGGGTGAAGGGGCCCACAAACACACAAATAAATAGACACACATAAAATTATTCCCAATATTTTCCATAGCTTCTGGGTTCTTGTCTTCCCCCCCACTTCCCATATTTTCCCATATTTTCTGGGGAATCGACGATTAATTGTGTCTGTGTGTTTTTTACCCTCCTGATCGGGGGAGGTTGGGTCGGAGGATCGCGCCGCATCGCCGATGCATCGGCGATACATCGGCGATGCATCGGCGATGCACCGGCGATGCACCGGCGATGCATCGTCGACGTGGGCGATGCATCGGCGACGTCGACGTGAAGCAAATCGGGCTCCACGTCGAGCCGCATCGCCGCCGCATCGCCGATGCGGCACGATCCTCCGACCCGATCTGCTCCGACCCCATCCAGGAGGCCTGGAGCTCCGTCGGCCCTCCCGAGACGCGCGGGGGGGGCCGGGCCTGGGCCGCCCTTCCCGAGGGGTTCTCGAGCAGGGGACATCGACGACGGCATCGAGTCACCCCGGGCTCGGCTTTGGCTCGGCGGGTCCACGGGCGATGTGCAGACTGCTCGCAGAACTGCGAACCGTCTGCGTGTGACTCGACGAGACTGCAACGACACCAGGGGCATACATTCTACAGTCGAGGCGATCGGCTCTGAGACCGCTCCAGGGGGGGGGGCCAGAGCCAGAAGTTCGGGCCAGACCTGGCCGTGGCGACGAGGAGCAACGCGAAGGCCCCCAAAAGGGCGAACCACACCTCAGCCCCTCGATGCTCGAAGCTCGATTCTCGAGGAATGGACTGAGTAGGGACTGGCCGTCCTGTCACTCATATAGGGATACCACCAGATGCTCTCAGCACATAAGATTGTTCTTACGAAAGATTCGACGCTCTCAGACCATAAAGCCGATGAACTTGAACAAATCCGTCTCAGCCAGAACTGCTCCAAGAACAGTTGTGAGTGTTTTCTTATTCGGCGTTTCGACATTGGCGGAAGTGGAGGGGGGAGGGGGGGGTCTGGCTCTGGACCTCTGCTCGATGAGACTGTTTGAAGCAGTGCGTCCTGTGAGGGACTCCACCTGCTCGAAACAAGCGCCAAAGACAGCCAAGATCTATTCCACGGGGGGGGGAGGGCGGGGTGCGAGGGCCCGCACCGATCGGCAAAACAATGAAGAAGAGAACGATTACTTTCGTGCATAAAACAAAAGGTTTAGAACGCGCTTTGGTGGGAGGCGTACGCCTCTCCGCCTTAAGGACCCCTCCCTGCCCCCCCCTGGCCAGCCTTCGCCCCGCATCGATCTCGTACGGTCCCGCGGGGTGTCCGAGACGGGCCCCCCGAAAGGCCGAGACGGGCTCCTGGAACCGCGGCGCGCACCCTCCGATCCTCGATCCCTCTTCCCCCCCTACACTTCCCCTTCACCCCCCTCTCTTTCTCCTCCTTCTCCTCCTCCCTCTCCTCCGTCGTCGTCTGCGTCGGAGGGGGAGGAGGAGGAACGAGAAGGAGCAGGAGGAGGAAGAGGAGGAGGAGGAGGAGGAGAAGGAGGAGGAGGAGGAGGAGGAGGAGGAGGAGGAGGAGGATGAGGAGAGGGGGAAGTGGGAGGAGGGCGCACCGCCCAGCCCCCTTCCCCCCTCCTTTCCTCTCCGCCCTTCCCCTCGTCTCTTCCCCTGTGCTCCTCCTCCTCGCAATATCTCCTTCTTCCTCTCTACTCTCCTCCTTCCCCCCTCCACACTCCTCCTTCCTCCTCTCCTCCCTCTCCTCCTCCTCTCTCCTCCTTCATTATTCCTTCTCCAGCTCCTTCTCTTCTCCTTTTTCCTTTTCTCCATCTCTCCGCCTCCTCCATCTCCTCCTCCTCCCTCCTCTCCTCATTTCCACCTCCCACCTCATCTCCTCCTCTGCTCCTCCTCCCTCCTCCTCCTCCTCCTCCTCACCCTCTCCTCCTCCTCCTCCTCCCCTCCTCCTCTCCTATTCCTCCTCCGCCTCTCTCCTCCCCTCCGCTCCTCCTCCTTACTCTCCTCCTCCCCCTCCCCCTCCTCGAGTCCCTCCTCCCTCTCCTCCTCCTTTCCTTCCTCCTCCCCTCCTCCTCCTCCTCCCCTTCCTCTTTTCCTCCTCCTCCTCTCCTCCTCCTCCTACTTTTCTCTTTTTCTCCTCTGTCTCTTTTCGTTCTCCTTTCTCTTCTCCTCCTCCTCCTCCTCCCTGTCCGTCTGCGCCGGAGGGGGAGGGGGAGAACGAGGAGGGGCAGGATGAGGAGGAGCAGCGGGAGGAGGAGGAGGAGGAGGAGGAAGAGGAGGAGGAGGAAGAGGAGGAGGAGTAGCAGGAGGAGGAGGAGGGGAGGACAAGTAGGAGGAGGAGGAGAAGGAGGGAGGAGGAGGAGGAGGAGGAGGAGGAGGAGGAGGAGGAGGAGGAGGAGGAGGAGGAGGAGGAGGGGGAGGAGGAGGAGGAGGAGGATAAGGATAAGGCCCTTGGGGGTCTGTCAACTTCGCCTACCGACAGGCATGCCGACCCCTGGGAAAAACATGGATACGAGCCCCCATTCACCACCTATAGGCTGTGAGGGCCGCCTGAGGCGACGGGGCCCGCCTCCGTTGAGACGTGGTCCCCGAGCCTCGCTAGCAGGGGAACCCTGCCTCGGTTGAGCGCTGGAGCTGGTGCAGGCGGAGGGGAGCTGCCGCCCTCTGTGGGCGCACCCCCCGCCGCTGAGAGCCCCCCCACCCTCGCTCCCCTCTCCCCCCCCCACCCTCAAGGCGGCAAGAAAAACAAGAGAGAGGCGGCCTTGTACTTGATGGACGCGTCCCGCCCCCACTCCCATCACACTCGCTGTGCACTGAGACCGAGCAAACATACACTGGGATAGCGAATGCACTGGCTGGATCGAGGCAAGCTGTCGCTGTCACGAGCGTGATCCGAGGACGCACCCAACGCGTCTCCCCCCGCTCACACACGGCTCTATCCAAGCAGAGGAAGGCTATATAAAGGTGGCGTGGCCGCACTGGCTCACACAAGGAATGCTGTGCCAATCTCTACTGCCTGGGTCGAGCGTGTTGGTGCTCTCGCGGGGGGAAAAGAAGGCCTGAGACGATTTGAAACAGCTCTCAGCTCACGACATCGTCCCGAGCCCGATGCCCCAGCCTGCCGCCGACGCCGTCCTTGGCGACAAGAGACGCACGTCTCCACTCGGAGCTGCGCCTGGGCTGCGGTCGGCCTTAGCCGCGGCGACTGGGGCCTCGGCCACGACCACCCCGCGCTGCTCCCAGCCCTGCACGCTCTTGCTCGGGCTCGGGCAGGCCGGCTTGATCGTGGGCTGGAGGAGGGCCTGCTGCTTCGTCACCGCCGCCGTCGCTGCCGTCGCACTCTGGGTGGAGAAGAAAGCCTCGTCGTAGGCGTAGCCCTGCGGCCCTTTGGTCCAGCGGGTGTAGATGTGGTCGATCTCGTCCGCCTGGCGCCTCATGTAGTCGAGCTCCCACGGCATCGGTCCGTGCACCATCTTGCCAAGCTTGTCGTCCGTGGTGCCGATCGCGCTCCTCGACGCGCTGATTGCGTGGTGAATGTCGCGCAGCTGCTCTTTGAGGTAGAGCTCTGCCTGGCTGCGTTCAGCTTCTTCGTGCGGGTTCAGGCTCCTGCCGTTCATACGCCCGAGCGTGGTCACCACCCGCTCCCTCTGCTGGTGAAGGACGTGGAGTGCCATCTCGCCGTATTTGGTGGCCTCCGTGAACGCCTCGGACGTGCTCTGGAGCGTGTTGTGCGCGACCTCGAGCCTGTGC